CCCATTCCTGTTTGCTATAAAATCCATCTAAAGCTCCACGGAAGAGAAAGTTTTATTCTGCGTGCGTGTGAGCATGCGTATGCGCGTGCTCCAAGTGTTTTGCATTATAGAAGCTCTGACCTTCAGAGGGGAACAGAAGGAATATTTTCCCCCCGGAGGCTAGAGTTGTCAGTGAAATGTCTGTCTTTCTTAATAATTTCAATCCGGGTGACAGGGGACAGGGCATTTTGCTCTGAACGAACGTACTGTAAAAACTGTCAGATAGAATTTGTCTCAAGAAACAACATTTCTATCTATTCAGGGTCATAATTACAGGCATCTCATGACCTGTGGGGCAGCACATTTTTCTCAGCCGAAAGAAAGGAATCCTAAAATAGGTGGTTTGGGTTTCTGCGGATCTTTGGGTTAAATCCAGACGGATTCTAACAAGCAGTGGGATCCTCAGCAGCCGCTGCCCTGCTCTTTTGGTGCTGTTGTTTCTTAATGCAAAGCCGAGTGTGCACAGCAGTGACGTGGCAGAAGCGCGGGGACACCACTCGCGGGGCGGCTCGAACGGTCTCCTTCGCCCTGCATCCTGCCGCCTGCCTCGCTCGATTCCCTCAAACCTGACAGCAGCCAGCGTCGTTTTAATGAACTGAATAAGTAACTAAATGGGTAATTAACCAAATAAGCATGACGATAATTTGATTGTGCTTCCCCCACTTTTAAAGCACAGGAAATAGTAAGAGAAGTAAAAATTCAGTGGAATTCGAGCAGAAGGAGAGCGCGGGAGGAACCGCAGGCTGGGGGGGTGGGCAGCTCCCATGGATGCTGCTGCCTAAAAGCAACCGAAGGCTCCCACAATCCTGCAGGAATCTTTGTTGGATTTGTTCAACATTTTGATTCCTTGATCCCTGGGAAAGAAAAAAAAAAATGGAAGCAGATTTCTCCTTATGGTTTAATTTTTCCCAAAACAAATGGGCCGTCCGTGGGCCCCACGGAGTCGTACCACGCTAGGTGACACCGCTCGGTGCTGGGAATCGTTTGGGAATCGTCACACTGGCCGTCGTGACGGAGCTCCTGCAAGGGCAGCCTGCGGCGCCTGTTGCTTCCCAGCCCCGGCAGGACGGTGTGAGCTGCACGGAGAGGAGCCGAGGGAACACGGCAGGGAGAGCCGGGCCCATCAGGGTCACTGCGGAGGCCCCAGGAACGGGGAACCGGGCAGGAACGCCCGCTGTCCCCGGCCATGGCAAAGCCTGCAGGGACTCCCGTGTCCGGGCAGCGAGACAAGGATGGCAGCAGCAGAACTGCCCGCGAGGGAGCATCGCCGGGGAGCAGGGCCCCAGCTGGCGCCTCAGCCATTCTCACCTGCAAGATCAATCCTGCTGGAGAGGGGCCGAGCGCTAATCAGCTCTGTTGACACCACGGGCAGCAGCTTGCAGTCCATTTTCACCTGCAAGCTGCAATCGATGCCCCGTTCTGCCACCGCAGGCAGAGGGCGAAGGCTCCTGCACGGCGTGGGGCTGCGGAGGGGCAACCTTGACCCACTGCCCAGCGGGTGGTGCAGAGGGAGCCGCGTCCCCTACAAAAAAAACCGCCCGCGCGGCCCCGGGGCGCGCAGCTCCGCAAACGCCACCGGCACGGCAGCTTTGCTGAGCACGAACGCGCTGACCGTGCACACGAGCGAGCAGCCGCACACGGGGTGGCTGGCCCTGACCAAAGGCAGGAATAACAACCGCAGCGTCTCGGGGGCGATGTGTGAAGGGGTGAGAAAGTAAAAGAGCTCCTGAAAGGCCTGCAAAGACAGATTATGTCCGTACAGACACTGCCTTTTTCCCGCTGTTGCTGTAATGACTGGTCTGGATTTCCTGTTTAGCACTAGGATCTCTGCTGGAGCCACTGGCACCTAGTAAAAAGACCGTGATGTTTTCCTCTGTGGGGATCATATTAAATTAGGCCGTGCTGGTCAGCCCGTGGCGCTGGAGGGGACGAGGAGCTACGATCCAGCCCGGGCCGCTCCAGCGCGTGCGTTGGAGCTGGGATGGTCGGTACCAGCGCAGGGCTGTGCTCAGGGCTCTGTTACCGACCGCGTCCGCAGGGATCCCGTGTCACTACGACGAGATCAGCCTGCGATCGTGTCGAAAACAGCAGCTATCCATCCCTGCCGGCCTTCCTGTCTGCTTACCAACCTGCCCATTTTCCCCTTACCAGTCTGTCCTTGCTGTTCTCTTTGTTACATATATCTTTACACCAACTTGCGGTCCAGGGAGCCACAGCAAATTAGGTGCTAAACTAAAGCTGCTTCCACTGCTTCCTATCGTGTGGGTGATCTTGTTTCTTTTTCTTACTCCTCAGTTTCAGTTCCGTACAGAATCAACCTTGCTACCAAAAACCACTTGTTATACCAACTTAGTAACGTCGGAAATGCCTTCACTTGAGGAAGAGAGGTAGGCGTGTGTTGTATGTATGTGCTTCCTAAACAAGGGAATTCAATCTGTCAAGAAAATTCAGTAGCAACCTCAACATTTAATTGTACCCTAGGGCCCAATAAAAATCAACGAGGGTGATAGCTGTTGATTTTTTGTTAACCTTTTCTTAAAAGAGGTCTCAGAACAGGACTGCTTAGACTGTCTGGCTGTATGTACATGTGTAATATACACAAGAGCTCTGCAGGGAAAAATGTGATTAAAACTTCAGATTGGATCCACACAGCAAAATACACTCAGGAACTGGCACAGGGCTGGGACATTGTTAGGTAAAAGGAAACATCCTGTTTTGATTTCTGCGTGCAGCACTCGATTTAACAAGTGTAGCTGGGGGCAATTGGAAAATAGTCAAAATGGTGAATTTGCTGCTTACACTCATTTATGCCGTTTCCTGAAGACAATTTGCTGCTGCTTTTTGGCATGTTCAGTATTTCTGAAACCACACAAAGGTTATGCGCAGTTCTCATAATTACACAGTGACTTTCTTGGGATAGGTGCAGTTGGGCACTTGCCACGTGCTGGAGCATCCAGAGTTTTGTATCCCGGGGCGGCAGCTTCACGGTGACGGCCACGGGGCTTGCAGCGTTCCAGCGGGCTCTGTAGCTGGCAAGAACGCGCCAGTCAGGAAAAAAACATCCTTATTAACTCTTATTGACTCAGGGAGCCTTATCGACTTGTTAAATCCCCCCGCCGCTCCTGCAAGGGTTTTGCTGCCTCCCTTCACAGTTCAGTTCCCCTTGACTGCATAGATCAGCGGCTGCGGAATTTGTGCCTAAGGAAAAGTTGCCTTGCAAGCAGCGATTTTATGTGTCTTTCCCCTTGGACCTCTGCAGGGCTTCCATAGAAAGCAAATCCAGGCACCCGCTTTGGCAGGGACAGCCAAGCCGCCCTGGTGCTGCTTGGCAAAGCACGTGCGGCAGGAATGGGGTTTGCAGTGACCACTCATTTTTTACGCGTCTGCGTTAAGTCTTTTCCCTGGGATTGTGTTCCTCCACAACAAGCCAAGCGCACTGGGACGGCACGCGGTGCCGAAGCGCAGGCGGCAGCGCCTTTGTGCCAAGCTGCGGGCCCGGAGCGCTCGCCTGCAGCGGGGCGGCTTTGCCCGGGGGCTCCGTGGGCTCCGGGCGCCCTCCCGGCCCCGCGCGCCA